GCAACCCCAGGTGTTAGAGTAGAACTGCTCCATAGGGTTTTCTTGGCTGTAGTCTTAATGAAAGCAGATCGCCAGGCCTATCTTCCACATTACCACTTGGTGGGTTCGAACCACCAACCTTTAGGTTAGCAGTTGAGCGCAAACCATTCACACCACCTAGAAACCTTAAACTTTAGTAAATGTGTATTACATTACATTTGTCTAATCTTGTAGTGATCTTCTTCCTTCCTATTCCCAGGTCAAGAAAATTTACCTGGATGAAAAGAGGCTCCTGGCCGGGGACCATCCCACTGACCTTCTCTTAAGAGACTTTAAGAAAAACTACCACATGTATGTGTATCCTGTGCACTGGCAGTTTAGTGAACTCGACCAACATCCTATGGATAGGTAAAAACTCTCATTTTCCCATTACTGAGTCATCTCTCTGTTATAATGTCTACTTTTCTACATGAAAGAGAAACCTAGTCAGATCAGGAAGTTTGCCAGTTCCATTTTAGAACACTGAAATGCCAAACAAATGTGGTTAGGAGTCTTAACACAAAACTTTTTTTAGAAGAACAGAGTATGGCCATACCACGGCACCCAAGTTTACATGTTATAGGTTCAACTCACACAGAGACTCCTTCAATTCTTTCTCATTCTTGATTCTAAGTTTCTGAGATAATCTGACTGACCCAAGTATGGCCAGTCAGTAAGAACCAGGTTGTACAAACATGGTTGTTGGGGTACATTCCTATAGATTTAAGGTAGAGAGAGGACAGTTCCCAGTGAAGACAGGATCATTGTATATGGGACCCCAAAAGTTGTCTACCTTACCCGAAAATAGTTTATTTCATTTGCAGCTTTTCATGAATGCCCTATTTGGCATACTCAGCAACCTTGTGGAAGAAAAAATGTCCTTGACAATGCTCAGAATTAACCTCTCGTACACAAGCTACTCAGTTAATAGGCTACCATTTCTTTCATTGCAGAATCTTGACACATTCAGAGCTTGCACTTCTGCGAGCATCTCTGGTGCCCATGGAACACTGCATAACCCGCTTCTTTGAGGAGTGTGACCCCAACAAGGACAAGCACATCACCCTGAAGGAGTGGGGCCACTGCTTTGGAATTAAAGAAGGTAAATTCATCATCAGCTGAGGGAAAGAGTAGAGCTGAGGTCCTACTGTATGTTCACACTGAAACCTAGAGACACTAAAATGGCAGTATCCCACATAGGACTCTCTCTGTGCATGTACTGTCATTGCAAGGCTATTTATTACTTTCCTTATGACCCTTGTTTTGAAAGGGTAGTAAGGGTGAACATTTAGGGGATAACTGCACTGAGGTCTGAGAAGGCAGCTGAGCCTAAGAAGGCAGTGTGAATCCAGAGAGCCATGCCAAATCTAAGAAGGCTTTATACCCCTTCCTTAATTTCATATCCATCCTTGGCCTAGGTATTGGGCTAAACTTTTTAAAAATCATATGTGAATAGTGAAACAGCAAGCCTGCTTCTGACCATGGGAGGTTAAAAGCAAACTTAGAATTCATTACCAACACAGTAAAGATTGGCTCTCACATCACAAGTTGTTCCAGCTATTATTAGCTATTATTCCTTTAATCCAAAACTGACCCATTACTGCATCTTCAGTGACAAAATGTTTTTTAAAAGTTCTTTCTTTACTCCTGCACTAGAGGAATTTAGACATTTGTTTTGCTGGGTTATGTTCTTTTCTTTTCCAACATTACAGTTAATTTTTATGAGCAAGCATGTTTTTAATAATCAAGATTTGAAAGATGTTCAAAAAATGAGCAATCAAAACTACTCATAAAATGTAAATCAGCAATGAACATCAAATCTCTAAAGCAGAGATTTTATACATATGTTTAAGACATACTTCTAGGATGACTATACATACAGCTAAGGAGTAAGGAAAAATAAGTTCATCAGAGGTCAAATTTTCCCACAAAGGGGTAACCTGTGACGCCTTCACATGAAAAATATTCTTCATGCATATGGATAATGCCTTAAAATGAAAGAAAGGGCTAAGAGCATGAGGGCTTAGTTACTGATAAGTAGGTAAGCAGATCTACAATATTTTTCTG